TTTGCATGGAATTTTTTGAGATTCATTTACTTGAATTTATGAATATGGGTATTTTGCCTGTTTTCTATGCACCACAAGCAATCAGTTTGCCAGAAAGGGCAATGGATTCCACATGGAACTGGAGTCACAGAAGATTGTTAGCTGAAATCTGGGTCCTCTGGGAGAGCTACACATCCTCTTAAAGAATGAGTAATCTCTCCAGCCCATGCACTTGACTTTTGTCCTTCCAGCCTCTCTAGTGTATTAGTTGAACTGGATTACACCTAATCGAAGAGAGATATTTCTGGAGAATTGTAGGGACAGGACCATGAGGTAGGCGTGGGAGATTACTTGGGATGCCAGGCATTCAAGCAGAGTGCTCCCGAGTTCAGGATCATCGCTCAGCATCTCTTAAGTCAGAGTTAGAGCAGTTATGTCACCTCTCATTTAGATGACAATGCAGAGTAGGCCCATCAGATGAAATGCAGACTTTTAAGACCCGCCTGGGGATGGAGATGGGATAAGATATACCTGTGATACACCAGCTAAGCAGTGTTAAATAGAAACTTCACATTTGTCTGGGTGGATGGTATCTGCAGCAAAAGCCACATGCCTCTCACGGAGAGTGTATCTCTGCAAGGCTTGAAAGGGAGAGGGATGGTTGATGCTACTCTTTCACCACAGCAGAAGTCACAGTGTATTGAGGAAAGGTTTCTTTCAGATGTGGGCTTTATTCTTCTGAAGTTCTCCTGGAATGGATCTGACCTGAGACTCACAGTAAGTCAGAGAGTTAATATGGGAAGCAATTATCCTTGTAAATTCCAGTGTAACCAAGAGAACAATGGAGTGAGCAACAGATGACAACACGGAATTTCATTATGTAGTCTCTGAACACACCAACCAATGTACATATTTATACACGACTGCATAGGTCACACACAGAGCACAAAAATAGGAAGTGAGCAGAAAAAAGTGAAGAGTACATAATGCTGAATGAACAGTTGAATTTAAAATATGCACATCAGGTGTTTCAACTGAGAACCCAAACACGGCTATCCATCCCTTGGGGGCCTAGAAAATTCCTAGCAGAGCTGGATCACACAGCTTAGTCGGACTATGTTGAGGGGATTGGAAAAAATATTTTCTTGCAGACACAAATCTGTCATTCCAACCCTCAGCCTGTCAAAGTCTTCCCACATCTATGGTCATCCAGTCATCTCCAGACTGGAAGCTCCAGGATGGGAGACCAGTCAAGTACCATGCCCAGAAAAAAGGACTGAGAAGGTGCTACTCAGGCATCTGTTACTATGAACCAAGAGCTTGGCAAAAGGAAGAGAACACATTGGGATGCAGAAATTAAGGAGAAGACCACATGCCACCCAAAACGTTGACAATGAGAACCACTCACTTGGCACTGGCACTGGGATCTAGTCCTTAAAGGCTGCTTCCTACCTGTGATCTCACATGACCCCTGCAAAGCAAATGAGCCACAGGCCACTGACATCATCAATGAAAGCTTTGTGTTGTTGCCAAAGTACCTCCCTGCATAGCAGCCCTCTGATCATAATGACATGTATGTGTGTGATATGTTACTGACCCATCTCTCTGAATGTACTGCAGCTTCTGGCAGAGCAGGAGGGTTTGCTTGACAATTATTCAGATTCTTGAAAGAGGATAACTCGCCAGAAAGACTTGGGAGTGATCACAGAAATGAACAATTGGATGGTATGTAGGTGGGAGTCTCTATGGGTGTCTCTATGTTTATGGTCGGACAGTTGGGCACCTGCCTCCGCTGCCTCAGCTTATGTGCTGCTGCTCAGCAGAAGGGACACAGATCATCTCATGAGCCTCCTTCAAGAGCCTATTCAGCTCCTCACAGGACTCTTACAGTTCAATCCACTCCTTCCACAGCAGTCTGTTCTTCAGTCTCAACAAATGTACGTTCTCCTTCAGCTGAGTACATTCTCGGAGGACCTGGCTGTGGAGGTAACTGAACAAACACCAAAACATGGTGAGCATCAGCCAGCCTCCTTTGCCATTCCTACCTCCAAGTGCCACCAGCACTGAAAATTCACAAACTCACAGACAGCCCACAAATAGAGTTCTCATTAGCCAAGCCAGCATCACTTAGATACAGGCCAAATCCAGAGAGTTACCAAATTCCAGAAAGATTCAAAGCACTTCTGAAAACCCTGATTCCAAAAGGGGTACTGTCCCCCTGAGAACAGGGTGCAACCCAAACCTGTGCTTACCTGTTCATGATATTGGGAAAACACCAGCAGGTAGGGGGCAAACACTGTCAGAAGGAGGGAAGATGCCCCAAACAGAATCAATTCTGTCCTTGGCTCCCATGGAAACCAGCTCTGTGAAGGCCTGGTCAGAGCCCCAGAGGTACTAGGATACCTGACACTCCCTTCATGGTGCAAACCATTTGTTTTTATCAAGGGGCTCCTGAAGCTGGCAGGACATTGCTTGGAGGGGAACAGTGTCTTTTCACACTTAGCTAAACTGAGTCCAAGATGCACAAGGCCAAGGACCACATGTCAGGCTGCTTGCTAAGAGGCAGACAGGCAAGAACCAGAACTCTCACTTTTAGTCAAAGAGAAAGATGGCAGAATCAGTCTCTCCCAAGATAAATCAGGCACATACCTGTAGGATACATTCTCCTCAATCAGCTGTTTGACCTTGTTCACACTGTCACTGATCTCCATGGGCATTTTCTGCAAGTCCGACATCACTTGCTTATGCTCCTTTTTCAGCATCTCAAAAGAATTCAGCCTGTGGTAGGGCATGGCCCCAGGAGAAAAGGACCCCATGAACACAGGCCACAAGGATCATATGGAATCAGGCTATGCTCTGGATTCCTCAGTGTCATGGAAGCCACAGCCTGGCACTTATACACAGGGACCTCCTGGTGCTTATTAAACTTCCTATCATGTCCCCAGGCCAGAAGAAGAAGGAGTTATCCAGGACTGCATGAGCACCCTCAGTGGACTTGGAGCAATAGATGATCTCTCCAAGAAGACCCCAGGAATCTGTGCCACATATCTGGTGCCACCAGAAACCTATGGTGACATTTTCCTGTCTTTATAACAGGAATTATCATGCCTGGGTACTCCTCCTTATACACAGAGGACCAGAGCATATGTTGAGTAGTTCCAGGGAGGAGTCCCAACTTCAGGAAGGCATTATAAACTCCACAGGGGATTCCAATGTTCCACCAAAGTGAGAACAGTGGCCAAGACCTGAGCTACTCAAAGTGGAGCTCTCTGGCGTCATCACTGGCATCCCCTGGAAAATGTGAAAATGGCAAATCCTCAGGCCCTGCCACAGACCCTAGAAACCCAGGAGTATACACACACACCCTCCTGCCCTCTAACACACACACACACACACA